GTCTGCAATGTGGGCCCCATTGCTGTGATGCAAGTACACTGTAAGACTAAGTGCTGTGTGGCCAACCGTGGGTTCAGATCCCCAGGTTGGCTTGAAAATACACCAGGTGCATGTTCGGTGTCCAGCGTCCTAAGGAGCTAGAGGGCTAGGAGAAGAGGAAGGTGGCGCGATGAGGCCATGTTGAGGGTGTTCTCCCTCACCCACGAGCATATGTGCTAGCATGTGCTATCAGGTAAAAAAGGCTGGAATGGTGGCATGGTGGTTAAGGGCACTGGATCCCAAGTGGCCGACCATGGTTTGAGTCCCAAACCTGGCAACTTGCTCTCTCACTTTCCCTCTCCACCTTCTCTCTCTCACTCTGTCCCTCTCTAATCAAATAAAAATTAAATTAAAAAAGAAAAGAAAAGAAAGAAGAAAAAAGAAAAGAAAAAAAAAAGAAGAGAAAAGAAAAAAGAGAAGAAAAGAAAAGAAAAAAGAAAAGAAAGAAAAGAAAAGAAAAGAAAAGAAAAGAAAAGAAAAGAAAAGAAAAGAAAAGAAAAGAAAAGGAAAGAAAAAAAGAAGAGGAAAGAAAAGTCTGGGGTTAAGAGCACTGCTTGGCCCAGGAGCTTGAATGGCACCCTGAGGGCATGATCCGCTGGGCCTTCTGGAACTCTGTTGTCTCTTGCTTCCATGTGCCCATAGTCCCTCCTATCACAGCACCAGAACACCTGCAGCAGCTCCTAAGTGCATTCATGCCCTTCCATCTCTGAGTCCCGCAGGAAGGAGGTAAATGCAATACTTCCTGCACAGGTAACAGCCCCTGGGTTTGCTCTGATACTTAGCCAGGTGCCAGTCCTGGAGCCGGTCACTAAACCAGGGAGGGAGAGGGGCGTGCAATGTGCTGACTGATGAGGGCAAGTTCTTTCTCTGGAGACTGGCCACCAGCCCCTGCAAATCCCATGCCCTAAGAGTGGGGACAGGCTTGGGTCCCTGATGAGAATTAGGAGCTGTTGCCGGATGTAAGACAAAGGGACTCAGGACAAATAGTGACCATTATTCCATGATGATTAGCATCGTCTGAGTGTATCTGGTGCTTCTAATGAGATTAGGCATCCAGGACCAGATCCCCATGTCTTGATGTCCAAAAAGATGTCCTCTGTCTTTCTAAGTGAAGGCCTGACCTCACTGGTTCCTGTGCCTCAGCCCCCTGGCAGTCCTCGCTCCCAGTTATAAGCCAAGTCCCCCACGTCATGCTATGGAATCGTGTCTACCTGAGACAAGGAACCCTGCTGCAGCCATTGTGGATTGGCCCCATTCTTGGGAGAGCTGCAATCCGGTTTTCCTCTGTAATCACAGAAATCCAATTATCTTCCCTCCAGAAACTGCGTGTGGAGACCACTTGTTCTAATTAATTGGTTCTATTGCTTGTGCTGGGCTTTTTAGGGGGCCTGAAATGAGAGTTCTGTCTGGGAGGCTGATCAGGGATGTGAGGTCTCGGCCACTCAAGGCCTTCCATTAGCTGAGCTCAGTGAAGCAGCAATCCCAGGTCAGCTTTGTCAAGGCAGCCTCTTGCTCTCCGCACTAGAACATGTGTTGCCAGCACTTGTGGGAAAGGAGTGCTATCGTCTTTTCTCTTCCTCTATTCTAAGACCTGGAAAAACAAAAGTCTCCAGTCTGGAGTTGACAGGTTGACATGCAAAGGCCGGGTCATGAGCTAATTTCTCTCCTTGGCTCATGCATACACTTATACACGTGTCCCTTTAGCTCCCACAAGTCCCCTCTTGCCTACTCACTCCCTAACCCTGGACCAAATCTTTCTCAGAGGTTCCCTGAGAGGACCTCACATGTACTCTGCAAGTCACTCAAGCTATGGGCTGCAGCTGCCCCTGATCCTGGGGACACCCTACCAGCCTGGCAGTAGCCAGTTCTGCTGGCCAGTCCAATTGGCACGGGAGCCAGCCATGACAGTTCTCCATCCTACTTATGGTGGGCTGAATAATGGCTCCAACCACGCTGTGTCCTAATCCCCCAAAACTGTGAACGTCACCTTAGATGGGATTTTATAGATGTGATTAAGGGTCTTGTGTTGTTTTAGCTTATCTCAATGAACTTGATATATCCACAGGAGTCTTTATAAGAGGGAGACAGGAAATGAGAGTAGGAAAAATGCAATGGCAAATGGAAGCAGAGATTAAAGTGACCTGGCTGTAAGGAAAGGGTTGTAGGCAGTTCCCAGAAGCTAGAAGAGACAAATAAAATGGATTGTCTCAATAAGGAACCAGTCCTGCCGGCAACACCGTGATTTTAGGCAGCGAGACAGATTTCGGACTTCTGGTCTCCAGAACCACAAGAGACTAAATCTGTGTTGTTTTAAGCCATTACGTTGTGGTTGGTTTTTATGATAGTGATTGGCTCCAGCTAAATCTCCTGGAAAGTGGTGGAAGAGGGGCATGGTGGGGAATGTCTTGTACCCCTTTGTGTTACACCTAACAATAGAGGTCCCAAAGTATGGCTGGGTCTCAGTGTTTTAGGATCCTAAGTGAAGTGGTGCTTTCCATTTTTCTCTCTTGATATTTGAAGTCAGAGAGGATGTGGCCAGCGAATTCAGCTGAGTGGCCCTCCTGTGACTAGTCATTCTCGTCATGGCTAAGATGTCCTTCCTACATCAGTGAGTACTACCTGGCACTGTTTGCGCCCCCTCTGATGTATTGTTCAAGGGGTCCGTCAGGCCCTATCCTGGACAGGCACTGCAGATAACTTCAAAACAACCTTAGGAGTAAGGTTGGCCATTACCAGGAAATACTTCTCTCAGATGTTACAAGAATATATTCCATGGACACCAGGGAGACTAGGTCTAGCTCTCTACCCTTGGCAGAGAGGAACACATGTGGCAGAATATAAGAAATGAGGTTTATCGTATGTAAATCAGCATCTCCTCTACTCAGCCAAACATTCTCTTGTCACTTGGG